CTTGCTTCAGAGAGGGATGGAAAGGCGTTTCAGGATCTCCGGGCTTCAGCCTGGTGCTATTCTTTCTCATATGCCGTGTTTCAGGATGCAGGCTTGAAAACTGTCACCAACGCTCACCTGGGCTGTGCACTAAACATCCCGTTTCAGAAGTACGAAAGCCCTTTATACCCCCAAGGTGAGTGAAGAGAATCTGTAACGGCCTCCATGGTGGCTGCAGAAGGACAGGTGGGGACACTCTGCCTCTTTCCATCCTTTCTGGCAGCACGTTCAAGTCGTGCCCTTGTTTGCAGAAGCAGAACTGGAGGAGGATGAGGAGGCGAGTGTCATGCAGGACACAGGGATGCAGATGGATTTCTTGGGGACATGGCTGTGGGAGCTGGTCCCTGTGAGGTGAGTAAGGAGCCCAAGCAGACATCGAGCCAGGGAACTGCCCTTATTGCATCAGCTTCACCTCTGGGAGCAGCACCCAGACCTCCAGTTCAGTGTCCATATATCCAGGAGAGACACTGAGACATGTCCAGCCCCTTCCCTCGGACCTCAGCACCGACCCCGGGAGACACCAGGGCAGTCTGTCCTGTAGGCAGGGAATGCCGTAAGAGATAAGAGTACTGATGGTACCTCTGCCCATCTCCGAGCATGTGATGGCCTCCAATGGTCCCCGGGACCTAGAGGAAGGGGGTTGGCATGCTCCTTCTGCTGGCTCTGCCCATCAGACCCAGTCTGCAAGGTCTGTCCATCCCCTACCACCCTGCAGGGAGAGGGGCTCTGCGGAGGTGACGGTGACGGTGCCCGATACCATCACCAAGTGGGAAGCCGGGATGTTCTGCACTGCCCCGCAGGGCTTGGGGCTGGCCCCTGCCATCACCCTCACAGCCTTCAAGCCCTTCTTCGTGGAGCTGGCCCTGTGGTCCCCCACAAAGCCTTCACCCTCATGGCCACTGTCTTCAACTTCCTGCGGCAGTGCCTGCGGGTGAGCGGGGTTGGGGAGGGGGCCCTGGGTCTGGGGGTCCTTCAGGGGTTGATGGAGCCGTGGCCATGGTCCGGCAGGTTCAGGTGACGCTGGATGGAGGTGGTGGCGGGCAAGGACAGGGCATACAGAGGCTGTGTCTGCGTGGATGAAGAGAGGACCTTCCAATGGAGCATGCGAGCCACCAGCTTGGGTACGGAGGAGACGGCAAAGGGCTGGGGAGGGGGGAAGAGAGCCCAGTGGTGAGACTCCTTGCAAAACTCCTCTTTGTCACCGCTTTGCTGATCCTTTCCTCCCTCTCCCAGCTCCCTTTCCCCTCTACTTCCCTTCTCCACTCTCCAGCCTCTTCCCTCCATTTCCCAGTCGCACTGTACCTGTTGCATCCTCCTCCTTCCCCGGCTCCCCAGGATGGCGCTGAGCTGGAGCCAGCCCCTGAGGCAGTGTCACAGCGATGTCCCCCATCTGCCTCTGCAGGGGAGGTGAACATCACCGTCATCGCTGAGGCCCTGCACTCCGAGAAGCTCTGTGGCACGGAGATGCCCGTGGTGCCAGCTCACGGGCATGTGGACACAGAGACAAAACTGCTGATGGTGCAGGTGAGGGGAGTAGAGGTGGTGGGCTTGCACCATCCTCTTGCTGGGAGCAGAGCTGCACCCAAAGCAGTCACCTCCAGAGCAGAGCATCTCCCCATCCCTTGGCCGGGCTGGATGGTGCCTGTGGGTGCTGGAAGGTGCAGGGAGAGCACCAGCACCCAGAGCAAGGCGAGAGTCTGTGTCCATGCTTAGGTACCATCAGTGGGATGGTGCCTTCTCTTCCGTTTTGGGGTGAGATTGGTAGGTTTGAGGCTGCTGGCTGTGCGATGTTCCGTTTGCTCCCCACATCACACCATGCACGGGGCTGCTCCAAGGACAGCCCGGCTTGGCCAGGCTGGACCTGAGCTCTCCTGGCCCGTCAGAGCCCATGGGCTGCAGGCAGGGAGGCGTTTCTGGGACAGACAAGGGCAGGCTGACTCTGATCCCACTCTCATACATGCTGTATTCTTGGTTTTTAAAGCCTCCAAGACCGATGTGAAGGAAGATTGCAGCTGCTTGGCTGTCCCTCTGCTCCTGACCCTGTCGTACCCCACCAAACAGCCATGGTCTCAAGGGCTGGCAGCCTTTTCCCATCCCTTCGTCCCCTTCGCCTGACCTGGCAGGAGCCTGCAGAAACATGGTTGAGACGAGGACTCCGAAATCCAGCCCTGCTCCCCAGCAGCCCTGCCATCGCATGGGGGTCGGGGGCTGACAAAAAGCCTTGGGAGACCAGGGCAAACCTGATGGATGAGCATGGAGAGGATGCTCAGGGCTGCTCTGAGCGCAGCCCTGGCCCACTCAGCCAGGCTGAAAAATGTAGAAAAATGCAAATGAGATAAGGGAAGTGGAAGCAGCAAAATGTTTTTCTTGCAAGAAAGCTCCCTTTCTTCAGGCTCTTTCCCACCATCCCTGTCCAAAGCCAGCCCCGCGTCCCAAAACACACTTTGTGTTAGGGGCTCAGCGCTCCTCTCCTCCTTAATGATGTGTCAGAGGGGCCGTACCTTCACTTTGCTTTGATGAATAAAAAGCTGACAGCAAACCAGCGAGAGCATTCATTGCACAGACGACAAAGCATCAGAAGAAACAGCACAACGTTGGGATCAGCGGTGTCCGGTCAGGGGCGGGCTGGGAAACAACACACTCCGGCTCCTGCTCTGAAATCACCAGTAGCACCGAATGACAAATCCTCTGTGCAATATTTCCCCTCAGCAGCCCCACAGGCACCGATGGGAGAGGCAGAGACCCCCTCCTTGCTCCCAAATTGATCTCCCCTTGGCCATGCTGTTCATGTCCCCCTCTGCATCCTGCCCCGTGCCCTGAAGGGCTCAGTGTGCTGCTGGCCCCAAGCTCCTTGTCACGTTGAACCGTCCCCGGGATGCCTGTTGGGGCAATGACCCATGCCCATATCCTCTGGGGTGGAAGGATGGGCTCAAGGCCATGCTCCCGCCTCGTGTCCATAGGGATGGCGGGGATCAGCCTCCTCCAGACACCAACACTGTGTGGGGCTGCTTCCAAAGGGCAAGGAGGTGAGCACAGGGCTGTATCCAGCAACATTCGAGCAGGGCATGCATGGGGACAGCAGCTGTGGTCGCCTGAGAGCCCATGGGAAAGAGGTCAGCCCCATCCATGGTTTCCCACAGCTCTGCTTTTTCTTCTCCCCACGTCTCCAAAGGGAAGGGGACTGCAAAACCCAGGAGCAGGGGATGCACTCAGAAAAAAGCGTGTGGCTGTTGTAGAGCTGCCTGAACTTTCCTAAATTCCCACCAGGACAGAAAGAGGCAGCTCAGCCCATGCCCTGGCCGGTGTCCAGCTCCCAGGCACGGTGCACAGAGGAATGAGAGCGGGTGGACCTGGCACGACAGCCCAATGCTGTTCTGCTCCTGTGCCCATAACTGATTTGATGGAACTGGAAGAAACTGGGCAAAAAGCCTGAGACCTGTGATCAGCCCAAATAGCTGCTGTTTGGCTAAATTTTAAATACCTGGAAACAAGCCCTTCTGAGAAATCACCACCAACTCACAGACTGTTCTCACGATGTGCTGCCTATTTTCATTTGGGGAACTCGTTCCCACTCCCTCCTGCCATCATTTCCCAGCAAACCAGTGTGTAGGTGGGTCCTGCCCCCTGGTTTTGAACCTCTGTAGCCTATGGGAACCTTTCCTCAAATTGCAAAAAGCCATCAGAGCCTTGAACCCAGGAGGCCGTGGGCAGATGGTAAACATTGCCTTGGCTATATCTGCAGGTCCACGCTGGATCCCTCTGCCAACTCTTGTTTGCTTGCGGGGTGGAAGGCAAAGATCTCATTTCAGAGCCTGCAGGAGAGCAGACACAGGTCTATAGCAATCCAACACCTGGAGAAGGCGGCTGGGGCCACCCCTGACATCTGCTTGCAGCTGGAGACATGAGGTCCCTCACTGCCCTGCCCGTCCTGCTGCTCCTCATCCTGCACCTCGCAGCTGGGGCATCTGCAGCACCGTAAGCCCTCTCCGTGTCTGTCCGTCTGTCCATGCCTGGTGGGGAGGGCATTTTGTCTTGGCTCCTTGGTAGTATGTAGTGGGAGCTAATCCTTGCCATGCATGTGATTGTTGGCCAGGGTGGAAATGCTCAGACTGCTGGGTTGTCCCTGTCCATGAGCATCGAGGACTTGGCACCCGAGGGATGCTGAAGCTGGTGGCTCTGCGACGGTTTATTGTAGGTGCTGCCTCACTTGCAGCCGATGTGCAGGCAGAGCCTTTCCTTTGCTGAGCTGAGAAGTCAAGGGGAGCCCAGAAGCAGAGCAGGGAGCCTGGGGGAGGTGGCCCTGCACCCCAGAACAGGCTTCTCTGCGTCCAGGAGCTCTTCAAGACTTCCGTGGGGTCTGTACCCCGGGACGTGCCTCATCCCCACGCCTCTCATGTCAGCACTTCTCCTTGCCAGGAGTTATGTGGTCACATCCCCAGCTGTGATCTACCACCCCCACACAGCGATGTTGTGGGTCCATCTCAGCGGCCTCCGTGAGCCCGTCCAGCTGACCGTCCAGCTGCAGAGAGCAGACAGGACCCATAACATCACTCTGCTGGAAAGGAAGGTCCAGGACCCTCATCTGTACCTGAACATCACCTTCCCCGTGAGTGTCACCCCACACACAGCTGTACGCATGGAGGGGGATGCCCTGGACACCCCGCTGTCTCCAGACAGAGCAGTTTCCACCAGCTCCCCTGAGCGTGGGGCTGTGGTCCTTCACAGGGCTGGGAGCAGGCATGACTCCACCATGTTTTGGTAGAGACTCATCCCACACGCAGGCAAAATGACTCTGGGCTCAGCCTAGTTATTCGGTGGCTGAATGAATCCCCTGATAGCAGTCTTGCAGACTAGGGCAGGGGGGTGGGGGGACATTTCTTCCCAGCCCCTGGCTTGGGCAAGACGTCCCATGTGGGTAAGGAGCGCTCTGGGTCACTCGAAGAGAGCAGAGCATGTCGGCCATGGCATATCCCTTGTCCTCACCTGGTGCCTGGTGTTTCCCCTGGCAGGCTCCAGCCCCCGCCAAAGGGAAGGAGGAAATTGTAGACCTGCACATCTCAATCCAGGGAGATTCCTTGGATGTCTCCAAGAAGAAGAAGGTGATGCTGAGAGCCCTGGAGCCTGGGCTCTTCATACAGACAGACAAGGCTGTCTACAAACCTGGACAGCAAGGTGAGCAGAGCAGGATGGACCACCCTGCTCTCCAGGCTGAAGGACCTGGTGGGAGAGGGGTGCAGGAGGCTTAGCCTTGCTCCTACACTGCATGGAAATAGGAGGGCTCATCCTGGGGTGCACTGGGACCCCCAGCACTGGCCCAGGGCAATGCCAGGACACGCTTGCAGCACTGGAGGCCATGCTGCTTGGGGGGTAGTTGTCCCGCTGCAGGGCTCAGGGTGGATTTCCATCCACCTTCCCGATGGGGAAATCCCCTCTCCCTGCGGATGGATCCACTCCTGCATCCCCCTTTGCTCTTTCCAGTGAAATTCCGAATTGTCTCTTTGGATAAAGACTTCACTCCCAGCAATAAGAAGGTGAGAGCAGGGCTGGGGAAGGGGGGGAGGCAACAGGGCTCCTCTGTACTGCCCTCCTACAATCTTGGCAAGCTGTGAGAGAGGTGTGGGAGTCAGCCAGTGCCTTTCCCTTCGGGAATCCTGCCCCAGCCAGCTCTGCCTGAGTGGGTGCACTCCCCAGGGCAAGGGATGCCCTGTGTTGATCATGCAAGCTTCAGCAGGCTAAGGAAAGAGAAAGCAGAATTGCATGCGTGACATGGGAATGTACCCACTTAAACTTTCCATTAGGGATGTAGAGATGGTGAGTGGGAAGCAGGGAAAGTGCTATTGATATCCATCAAGTCATCAGACACCAGGATTACAGGCAAGTTCAGTGTCTGGCATCCCTGAGCAATCACCTGGGTCTCTGAAAGTGCAGGAGGTTCCCAGATGAAATGGTTGCTGGCTTCTTGCAAAGGTACTAGGTGACACCACCTCTCCATGCCATGCTGACAGTGCCCTCGGCTCATCCCAGCTAGAGTTGCCCACAGGCTCAAAATCAATCCCAAAGCAAATTAAAGGGTTGGAAGTTCACAGCATCCCACAAATAACCCTCACTATACTCCATCCACGGCTCCATAGATGTCCTCACCCTGGTGAGACCCCAAGAAAGGCTTTAAATTTCTCCTCTGACCATCTTCTCTTTGCCTTGCAGCTGCCTCTTGTGTTCCTGAAGGTCAGTCTGGGAGATGGAGGGAGGCTCCAGGGCCATGTGGGCTTGGGAAAGCAGTGTGGCTGGGAGAGAAGAAGAAGAATGCAGCCACGGGCTGTTTTATCGTGGGGTGCTGGGCTTTCTGGGGTGCTGATACCTCATGTCCCTGTGTGCAGGATCCCAGCGGGAACCGAATTGCTCAGTGGCAGGAGGTGAGCCCACGGCAGGGCATCGTGGACCTGTCCCTCCCGCTGGCTGCGGAACCAGCCCTGGGCACGTACACCATCCAGGTGGAGAGGAAGACCCACTCCTTCAGCGTGGAGGAATATGGTATGCAGAGACCAGAGGGTGGGACCCCCACCTTGGCATGTCCTTGTGGACAGCATGTCTTGGCACCCCCCCGGCCACGCAGGCACCATTGTCCTTGTCCTGGGAATGACAACCCTCTCTCCTTTTCTTCTCCATCAGTGCTGCCCAAGTTTGAGATGACCATTGATCTCCCCGCTGTGGTGCTGCAGAAGGACAAGAAGTTCCAGATGGAGATTTGTGGACGGTGAGCCTGAAACAGGCTGTGCTGGGAAGAGGGAGGCGATGAGGTGGAATCCAACATGATGTGGTCCATCAGACACATCTTCATCATCCTCCACCTAACAGGTACACCTACGGAAAGCCTGTCCAGGGGAAGGTCCAGGCCAGCTTGTGCCAGCCCCTCAGGAACATCGGGATCCTGTACAGACTTCACAGTAACCCCCAGAATGAGATGAACTGCATCGAGGTTAGCGGGCAGGTGAGCACAGCCGGGGAGTGTGGATGCCGCTGGGATCACCCCTTCCCGGGACTGCTGCTGACCTGGTTGACTCTCTCCCTCCAGACTGAGAAGAACGGCTGCTTTTCAACAGAGATTTTGTTGACTGCCTTCAACCTGACCAGCTCCACGTATCAGAAGCAATTTCAAGTCCAGGCATCGCTGGTGGAGGATGGGACAGGTATGGACAGCAGTGTTCTCCTGCTTGGGAACGAGCATTGCCACGGTTGCACGGTTCTGCCTTCATCCCTGCATGCACCCAAATACACATGGCACGGGGATGTTGATCTTCTCCAGGGAAGCCCAAAAGCAACGCTGTGATTTAGGGGTGCACGTGTGCAGGGACCAGGTCCAGGCAGGGGTGTGAGCCAGGTCAGCCAGACAATACTTCTAATTCTGACCAGAGAAACGGTTAGGAAGCAAAAACGCCTTTTCAAGATCCAACAGCACTCCAATACTATGGCTAGCAGTGAGTCGAGTCCTCGCAATGCAAAGCAGTGGTTTCATCCAGTCTGGTTGTGTGGCTTCGTCCTTTGAGCTAATCCCTCGCCCACCACCTCGGTCACACCAGAACTGACTGCAGGTGGCTTCGCTTTGGAAAAAAAGAAAGAAGACTAGAGGTTGTCCCTGGGCTCACCAGCACCGAGGTGGTCCTGCATCGTGGTGCTTTGGTGAAGAGCCTTTTCTGAAGTCTCTGCAACCAGCTGCACCCTGGTTTTAGGTCTAAAACATACCATAGAAGTTTTGCCCCTCTTCTAGGAGGTGCAAACTGTGCTCCAAGCTGCCGGCTGCAGAGGGAAAGCCTACAATGTCCAGGGACCTTTTCTGCACTGTGATGAGGGAGCTGGCAGCAGCTGACCTGTGCCCTGCGTCTCTGCAACACCCTCAGCTCACCACTCCCTCTCCACAGGGCTGGAGCTGAAAAACACCAAGACCTGCAAGATTTTACCCGAAATCTTCACTGTCACCTTCGAAAACACCGATGGTTTCTACAAGCCTGGCATCCCCTACACTGGGACGGTAATGGGGGGGTCCCCACATCCCGCAGTGCTCCCCTGCACCCTGCTGCACCCAGTCCTGCTCCTGCTGACCCCCTCCAGCCCTGTTCTCCCACCCCTGCCCTCTGCCCCACGGCTGCAGCCCAACCTGCGGCATCTCCCCTTCCCTCCCGGTGCAGATGCTGCTGACGGGAGCCGATGGCGTCGTGCTGCCGCAGAAGCAGCTCTTGCTCGTCGTTAGCCAGCGAGGAAAAGATACGAGACAGACCTTCCTGACAGATAGGTCGGGGAGAGCCTCCTTCGAGTTGGAGACCTCTGGTTGGAGCGGTAGGGTCTCCCTCCATGTAAGTGACCCATCTCCCACCCTCCGGGGGTCCCTGTGCTGCCTTCTCCAGTAGTACAAGGCTGGGCACCTCTCCAAGCCTGCATCGGTGATGCCTGGTGCTGGGACCATCACCTCTTGGGCTGCTGGATGGCTTCACTACCCTGATTTCTACCTCCATCGCTCAGGGTCGAGTCAATGAGACAGGTCACGCCCAGAACGACGACTTGACACTCATCTTCCAAAATGCCTACATGTACCTCAGACCCTTCTTTTCGGCAAGCAGGAGCTTCCTGCGGATCCGCCGGCTGGGGAGTGAGCTGCCCTGTGGTCAGCCCCAGCAGCTCTGGGTGGACTACATCTTCAGCAAGGAGGCCTTGGGGACTGAGCTGGAGAGCCTGGATGTGGTCTTCCTGGTGAGCCCCATCCCGGGGAGGGAGGAGCAGTAGGGCATTAGGGATGTAGGATTTCACAGCAGGCATTAGGGTGGTTGTGTGTGAAGGTCGTCATCTATACACACGTTCACGGTCATGTGCCTGAGGACAAGACTGACCAAACTGTCCTGGCTAGACTGAGGGACCTATGCTTGTTAGTAGAGGTGTCTGCTGGCACTGTTGGACCTGCATGCCGATGGGAGAAGTCAGGGGCTGGAGACTGCGCAAGGTCAAAAACCATACCAACACTCTTGCCCTTCAGTCCATCCTCCATCAAGGTATTTCAGTTCCCCACTCAGCATCAGTTTGATTGTCCCCATCTCCTCCTCTGCAGGTCCTGGCCAAGGGGACCATTGCCACTGTCCTCAGGAAACAGCTGCCTGGGGAGGCTGGTAGGTCCGGAGGCATGGACGGGCTGTGCAGGGCTCTGCTCTCCATGCCTGGTCCTCATCTCCCCTCCTTTCCCACGGCCCAGGGCTGAGAGGCTCCTTCTCCCTGGAGCTGCCCATTGGCCCCGAGCTGGCACCCATGGCCAAAGTGCTGGGCTACGCGGTGCTGCCCGACGGCGAGATGGTGGCTGACAGCACCGAGCTCATGGTGGCCAAGTGCTTCCCCAACAAGGTGAATGGAGGCTGCTGGAGATGGAGGAATTGCTCCATGGCTTGTCCATAGCTGCGTGCCCTGAGGTCCATCCTGCTTCAGATGTATCGCAGCATCACAGTCTCTTTAACCCATGCCCTGATCCCCAAACCCTTGAACCTGATTTTGTCTTTATGTCCGTGGCTTGGTCCTGCTCCTCCATGGGAGGTAGTTCCCCTCCTGCCCTTGCCCCCTGATGCCCCTGTCCCTCCCCAGGTGAAGATGGCTTTTTCAGAGGACAGGGCTCTGCCTGGCTCGATGCTGCGGCTGGAGCTGGAGGCTGCCCCGGGGTCCCTGTGTGCCGTCCGTGCCGTGGACCGCAGCGTGCTGCTTTTGAAGCCTGAGGCTGAGCTCAACATGGAGGCGGTGAGTGGTGGCACTGCCCAGGGCCCCTTCTGCAGCCCCAGGGACAGCCAGGGATGGGGTGGGAAGACATGTCATTGGCTTGGACCTCCCCTACAGGGACTTAGTGCCATGGTGGCTCTTGAGGAGTCCTACTCCTGGGCAGGGGGTAGGTGCCCGGCTGATTTTGTACCTAGCACACGTGTTTACTCACAGGTCTACAAAGTACTCCCCGAATTCAACTACCCTGGAAGCATTCAGGACCCATCACCCTGTTCAGAATTTTCCTGGGACTATCCCCTCGACTTTGACACTCCCTTCATCCCACCTGCACTGACAGAGCGAGACTTCTTTCGCCCTCCCAGGAGGCATCTCTTACCTTTCCCTTTTTGGAGGAATTCCCAGATGGACACCTACAAGTTATTTCAGGTAAAGGCCCTGCCCGCCTGGGCTTCCTGGTTCCTCTTCATCCAGGAGCTGGCTGGGATGCTCAGGGTGCTGGGAAAGCACAGCAGTGTCCCGTGAAGGCCACACTTGTGGCAAAGGTCTTTCCCTTTCCCACGGACCCCAGGCTCTGGTCCTTCTCCACTTGTTACCTTCTGCAGCCCAGTGACTATTTACTGCTGGGGTGGGGATATTCTTCCTGCTGGGTTTCAGAGATGGACAACCTCTTTTCTTTTTCACAGAATGCAGCACTGAAACTTTTCACCAATGCCAAGATCAATGACGTTTGCAAAGAGAGGCGAGGTTTGCCTGGGATGGCTGGTCCCTATGGTCCTAGAGGTCAGCACAGCCCTCGGCTTGCCTGGTCCACTGAGCCTTCTTGGGATAAAAGAGCAAAGCACTGGTGCCCAATCCTGGCTCCCATGTCCTCAGGGGGACTCGGAGCCATCCTGAAGATACACTCGGCTTCAAAGGGATTGAAGAGGATTGAATAGGATTTTGGCCAGCTTCATGCTGCCTGCAGGCGAGGCCCAGCTGAGATACAGAGACCTGTGGACCCTAATTTCTGCTCTGCCTTTTCCAGGTGCCTTAGATTTCCCTGCCACCTATTTGCGGAAAGAACCTCGTGTCTTTGAAGTAATGGACTATGATAGACCAATCGCCGCTGTCCAGGAAGAGCCACCGGCACCCCGGACGTATTTCCCAGAGACGTGGCTGTGGGACCTGGTCCCTGTGGGGTGAGTGAGGTCCCCATGGGGCTGGTCATCTCCCCAAGTCCCCCTCCTGCATGGATGGAGGTTGGGGACCTCAGGACAGCTCCTTCTCCCATGAGGAGAGAGCCAGCCCAGCTGGGTATGACACCAGCTGTGGGTGAATGTGGTGGGATGGCCTCATGATGTTCTCCATCCCTCAGGGAGGGGGGCTCTGCAGGGGTGACAGTGACAGTGCCCGATACCATCACCGAGTGGGAAGCCGGGATGTTCTGCACGGCCCCGCAGGGCTTGGGGCTGGCCCCTGCCATCACCCTCACAGCCTTCAAGCCCTTCTTTGTGGAGCTGGCGCTGCCCTATGCCATCGTCCGCCATGAAGCCTTCACCCTCGTGGCCACCGCCTTCACCTGCGTGGCCACCGTCTTCAACTACCTGCGGCAGTGCCTGCGGGTGAGTGGGGTTGGGGAGGGGGCCCTGGGTCTGGGGTCCTTCAGGGGCTGATGGAGCCATGGCCATGGTCCGGCAGGTTCAGGTGACACTGGCAGAATCAGCGGAGCTGGAGGTGTCGGCGAGCGCAGACGAGGTGTACGGTGGTTGTATCTGTGCAGACGAAGCGAGGACCTTCCGGTGGGGCGTGCGAGCCACCAGCCTGGGTACTGAGCACCAGGACCATGGTGGGACCCCCCTGCCCTGTTGCTTGGGGACCCCCTTGGAGGATGGGGTGGGCAGGGAGGACAGGAGCAAATGCAATGTCACCTGGGAAGCCCTCCTCCGTTCCACTTTCACCCTCCCTATTGCTGCCTCCCAGCAGTGCTCCTCAACCTGGTGATCCCCATCCCAATCCAGCCAGCCCCACACAAAGCCCCAGGGCTGATGCAAGCCCGTGGGGCTGTGGTGTAGGCTGGGGGGTGCTCCGTGGGGACTGAGTACCCCGGTTTGCATCTACAGGAGAGGTGAACATCACTGTCAGCACCGAGGCCCTCAGCTCCAAGGAGCTCTGTGGCAATGAGATGCCCATGGTGCCAGCCCAGGGGCGTGTGGACACCATGATAAAGCCCTTGCTGGTGCAGGTCAGATGGGTTATGGAGGAGGAAGTGGGATGGGTTTGGGAACGGGATCTGAATTGCTCTTGGGGTGCAGAGGGAGGACTGGGAGTGGGACAGCACCCAGCCCTGAGCCTGGACATGGCTGGTCCCTTCTGGCCAACTCTGATGCTGCTTCCTTACAGCCCGGGGGGATCCTGGTGGAGAAGGCGCACAACTCTCTGCTCTGCCAGGAAGGTAGGACTGGCCAGGGGTGTCTGGCAATGCCATGGGGATGTGGGACAGGGATGCTTGGCCACTGGTCACAAGGGCCACCAAGCCAGAGGAGCCAAGGACCAAGGTCCCTAGGTGCTCCTGGCTGAGAAGCTGCAACCCAGCCTTGAGCCCGTGGAGAGTTGGAGCAGGAAAGGGTTGGGCAAGGGTGCTGTGGGGCCGGGCTGGGAGGAGCTGGGCATCCCCACTGTTGTTGCCCTCCATCCCCACAGTTGCTGAAGAAATCTCGCTGGAGGTTCCTGCAAACATCTTGGAGGGCTCCCAGCGAGCCCACGTCACCGTGATGGGTAAGGGACAGGCGGGGGGCCGGGGACTGCCTGGGGCAGGGAGGGTGCAGAGCTCCAGGGCCCAAACTCAGCAGGAGGTGGCACCACCCGGAGCTGAGATGGAAGGAGATACAGGGTGCTAGTGGCAGGGGGGGGGGCACAGCTGATGACAGTGCTCCCCATGTCCTCCTGGGATAGGTGACATCATGGGCAACGCTCTGCAGAACCTGGACCGCCTCCTGGCCATGCCCTATGGCTGTGGGGAGCAGAACATGGTTCGCTTTGCCCCCAACATCTACATCCAGCAGTACCTGGAGAAGAGTGGGCAGCTGAACCCCGACATCCGTGCCAAGGCGCAGACCTTCCTGCAGAGTGGTCAGCATCCCCGGTCCCCTCCCCTCCCCATCCCACCCTGCCTTGCTGCTGAAGGACACCACCACCTCCTATCCCCCCTCCCCATTTTCTACCTGTGCCCGGGCTGGGTCTGGGCTGCAGGCTGCCTCTACGATCCCCTAGGGATGTAAAGACTGTGGTGTAAAGACTTGTCCCCATCTCATCCCCACAGGGTACCAGCGAGAGCTGCTCTACAAACATGATGATGGCTCTTACAGCGCCTTCGGGAAGAGTGATCCCAGCGGCAATACCTGGTGAGGGACCCCACGGGGCTCGGGCAGGCTGTGCAGCCGCATCCCTCCAGGGACTGACCATGTCAGGGCTCCTCCTGCCACCAAGCATACCCCAGCCGCAGTCTCCCATCCCTCCGATGTCTCTCTGGCTTGTAGGCTGACGGCGTTCGTCCTCAAGTCCTTCGGGCAAGCCAGAGCCTACGTGGCCATCGAGGAGCGGCACATCACAGATGCGCTGCGCTGGCTGCAGACGAAGCAGCAGGAGACAGGTTGCTTCCGCAGCGTGGGAAAGCTCTTCAACAATGCCCTGCAGGTGGGTCGGTGGGCTGGGGTGGGACATCGGGACAGGCAGCCAGAGCTGGGTTGGCCCCAGCATGCCCCCGGTGTGTGGTCTAGGCAGCAGGGGGGTCCCTGTGCTGGTGGCACGGCACGGCTGGACCTGTCTCCTGCTGTTCCCTTTGCAGGGTGGTGTCTCAGATGAGCTCTCGCTGTCAGCTTATGTCACGGCTGCGATGCTGGAGTTGGGATTGTCCCCAAAGGTAAAGATGACCCAATCTTCCCTGGAGGGCTTGGTGAGGTCGAGATGGGTGCTAGGGCAGGGAGTCCAGCTGTTCCTCCTCGCCCAACCTGGGCACAACTGGTCTCACTGGGCAGAACTGAGGTCTCTGAGCAATGCCCACACCCATGGGCTGGCTCCTGACTCCGTTTCCATGCCAGAACCCGAAAGTGAGCTCAGCCCTGCAATGCCTGGAGGCTTCGGCCACGGACAACCCCTACACACAGGCCTACGTCTTCGGGTTGGCGGGGCGCAGGGAGCAGCAGCAAGCCCAGCTGCAGAGCCTGGCCCAGCACAGCGTCAGCGCAGGTACCACCCAACACGGGCAGTGGCACCTCCGAGCAGTGCCACCCTCTGCCTGGGTCACCCCATCCCACTCCCAAGCCCCTCGGGACCCCCGGAGCAGGGGGCTGAGCTCCTACTCCCTTCTCTCCCAGAGGGGCAGCTCTACTGGCAGAGGAAGGGGAAGGCTCTGCCCCCCTCGCAGCCCTCCTGGGCTGCCGCCGCGCCGGCAGAGGTGGAGATGACCTCCTACGTCCTCCTGGCTTACCTCTCCCAGCCCCAAGTGTCCTCTGCCGACCTGGGGACTGCTGCCCAAATCGTCCGCTGGCTCAGCAAACAGCAAAACCCTTACGGGGGCTTCGCCTCCACGCAGGTACCAGCACCAGGGTCCATGGGGCTGCTCCAAAGCATCCCCTCCCTTGTATCTGCAGTTAGGGGTGACCCTGGCTCGGTGCTTTCTCCATGCCCAGGACACCGTGGTGGCCCTGCAAGCCCTGGCCAAGTACGCTGCCCTGACATAAGGCAACAATGGGGACTTCGTGGTGACGGTGACGTCTCCGACAGGCACCGTGCAGGACTTTGTGCTGCACAACAGCAACCGGCTGGTGCTGCAGCGGGCGGCTCTGCACGAGCTGCCGGGGACGTACGGGGTACGAGCCCGCGGACAGGGCTGTGCCCTGGTGCAGGTTGGTATGGGCTGGGGTCCCTCTCCCCATGCGGTGCCCACTCGGTGGCTCTAACCCTCCTGTGTCACCCCAGGTGACCCTACGCTATAACGTGCCACCTCCTCCGAGCACGGGGACTTTTGATCTCCACGTGGAGACGGAGCCCAGGGAGTGCACGGAGGATGCCAGCACCCGCTTCCGCCTCCTCCTCCGGCCACGGTAGGGTCTGGGTCTGCCCCCCGGGTTGGGGGGCGGGGAACAGGAGCAGCCAAGGAGGGAGGGCAGACCCCAACCCCACCCCGGGGCTCTGCCCTTGCAGGTACACTGGGGAGCGTCCCATCACCAACATGGTTGTTATCGAGGCCAAGCTGCCATCCGGCTACATCCCAGACAAGAGCTCTGTGGTGGAGGTGAGAAGCCCCCGCTGCGCCCAGGACCCACCTCTGCCCCACTGGGGCACCCATCCTGCCACTGAGTCCCTGCCCCTTGGGGGCAGCGGGACGTGGATGGGCACCCACTCGGGGTGCTGGCCCTGGCTGGGGCACCCACCGAGCAGTTGTTGCCCATCCTGAGCCGTGTCCCTCCAGCTGAAGAGGCAGAAGCTGGTGAAGAAGGTGGAGGTGCAGCCCGACCAGGTGACGATTTACCTCGACCAGGTGAGATGGCGCATGGGGACAGGAGCAGGACCCCACATGCTGGAGTGTGGGGATGCTTTCCTATCGTGGGTGGTTGCACGTCACCCTTGGACCTTCTCCACAGCTGACAAAGGAGGAGGAGACCTTCGCATTCACTGCCACACAGGACTTCGTAGTGAAGAACCTCCAACCGGCCACTGTGACGCTGTACGACTACTATGAGACGGGTGAGCCCTGCTGGGATTGTAGTCCCTGGGGTGCCTGGCCCCACTGCCTCCCCTTGCAACCCCAACAGCTCAGAGTGGGTCTGGCTGAGCTTCCAGTTCACATTGACGAGCTTTGGCTCGTTAATGGGAGCAGCTTACCCCTGAGCCCATTGGTCACCATCCTTCCCGTTGCAGGTGAGCGCACGGATGCTGCCTACAGCGCACCTTGCAGCTCAGGTAGGGGCCGAGGGCATGGCAGAGGGGGGGTCACCCCACCATTGGGACCCTGATGGGGACCCATCAACCCCGAAGGGTCAACCTGGGCTGTGCTGAGCCCCCGGACCCAGATGAAGGAGGGCAGGGAGTGGGGATGGAGGAGCCCAACCAGAAACCTGGAGCCTTGCATTGATGGATGGGGACTTGCTGGCCAGAGGCCACAGAGGACCCAGGTGTCCAGGCTGTGGGGTGCAGAGCGGAGCTGTGCCTCTCTGAGGGGGCTCAGGCCCCCCATCAGCCCTCGCCTTCCTCCTGTGCACCTTATGGAGCTCCTCATTCATGGATTTGGGGTCACGCAGGGGATGAGACACTGAGCTCCAAGGGATGGAGCTCAGCTGGGGGAACAGGGGCAGGCAAAGGGGGCTGGGGGGGGCAGAGGGGCTCTCCTCTCACAGCACACCCGTATTTGATTTTGAAGAGGCTGACGGTCAGGAGCAAGAAAACTTCTAGCACAGGCTGAAGCCTGGCAGCTGGTCCCCTCCCCTCGCCTCAACTCCCTCAGCTACCGAGGACTGGGATGGCCACTGGACTCTGCTCCCACCCTGGCCACAGACTCTCCCTGGGGGCAGAACACAGCCCAGAGATGGTCACAGCACAGCACAGATCCCTCTGGACTCAGCCACTTCTCCCTGTAGTGCAGCTCCCGCGCCCCCAGGACCCCCCAGAACCACAGCCATGGGGCTGACGCAGACCCACGGACAGAAACTTCCTGCTGCTCTGCAAGCCCCTGCTCACCTCCCGCCTACCACCCTGAGGGAGCTCTGGGGCACCCAGTCTGGCCTCTCCACTCCCCACGGCATCTGAATGGGACCAAGACCCCCTCCCTCCTGTCAGACCGACTGTCCCTTCCCCAACAGGTCCTCACCCCTCTCCCCGGGAGTTACGGTGCTACCCCAGCCCCCTCCCTGGCACTAACATGGTGCCACTGTCACCAAGAGGGACCTGGGGACACCTCTGCAATCCCATCAAAACCAATTCAGGTGCTTGTCGATGGAGAGAAGCCACAGTCCTCCTTGCTCTAGGTCTAAATAAATACACTTGGTCAAGTGCATCTTTTTTCTTGGTCTTTCTTTTCTTAAATTTGCAGGGTCCACACGGGGAGGGGCAGCAGGGTGAGTGGGTGCTCCAGATTGTGTTGGTTGGGGCTGAGGGTGGGTGTCAGACTGGCTGGCTGCCGGACAAGTCAATCAGTGTTTGGCGGCTTTGCCAGAGACAAAACAAGGTGGCCTGAGGTAGGTGGGCTCCCCGAGGCAGTAGCAGAGATGTACAGAACCCACCCGCCCGCTGGTCCTCTCTCCGTCTGCCAAACGTTGAAGGGACAGGGCAACTCGCAGCACAGGCCCCTCAACTCACCAAGATGCAGGACAGATCCTGCTGCAACCTGTGCAGACCACCGACACCCTCAGGGCTCAGTACCCACCATCCTGCGATCTCGGTGAAATCGGCCAAGAGAGCTGCCCCCTGAGCCACAACCTCTCTGGCGACAGCGAGGGCTGGTGTGGATGTTCGTGCCACCGCTGAAGGGCAAGAGTCTCCCAGCAGAACCAGCAATGGTGAGAGACCTGGAGATGCAGCCACGCAGCGAGCACAGGAAGGGGGCTGATGCTACAGCGCTGAGGCCAAACCAACCCTCTCTGCCCCATGGGAGGACAGGAGACAATGTCACATCAAGGCACAGACTAAGAGCAACGTGTGGCTAAGTCACAGCCCTGTCCCCATGATGGAGGAGAGAGACAGGGTGAGCCGGCTGCTCCCAAGGCCGCCGTGGGAGGCCAGGAGACAGTTTTTTTAAGCCAAGCCCCTCACTGAGGATGGAGCCGTTCCCACATCACTTATGGCCTTTCTTCTTCTGTTCTTTGCGCTTCTGAGCCCTCACATCCTTCTTCAGGCGGCTGTCGACGACCTTGAACTGGCCCTTGACGCCAGGAGGTCGGCGTACCCGCGGTCCTACGCCTTTCTTAGCCACCAAGTAGGTGACCTGTCGCTTCTCCTTGGCCAGCCCAGCCTTTTTGTAGATCCTGGAGGAGAATGGCAAAAGGTGAGACCGAGACCCCAGCATCCCGAGCCAGCCCCAGCAGTTTGGTTTTGTGACATAGCCAAACACCAATATTGTGCCCCCAATTCCTCTGGCCCTCTGTGCCCCAGCATGGGGCTCCCTTGCTTTCTCTGCCACCCCTCAGCCTCCACCCAGATCCAGCCCCAGCCTTTGCCAGCCCTACTGGGTTACGTGCAGGAGTTGTCCCCGTGCTGTGGCTGCAGGGACAAGGCATCGCGAACCAGCCCAGCACAACACGAAGGATCTGGATGTCAGCTTCACCACTCACCGCCGCAGCTGAGCCACCTTCTCCCGTTCTGAGATATCCACCGTGCTCACCACAGCCTCTGCTTTCTTCTTCATCTGCTCCATCTTCTTCAGCATCTGTGGGGACAGCGAGGGTGAGGGACAAGGGGGATCGGAGGAGGGACAGAGCACCTGGCAGGGGGAAGAGAGCACCCATTCAGGTCCACAGCCCCACTCACCCGCCGCTTCTTGCGGGCCTTGGCCTCTGCCACCTTCTTGATGGGGCGGGCGTTGATTTCCCGCCAGCGCTGTCGATATGCCTCAACTGTCTGTCGGTCCACGGGTATCTGTTTGCGCCGGTGCTGCTTCTCCTCCTCTGTGAACCACTCCGGCAGCTCTCCCTCATCCTCGTTGAAGGAATACCTGAGGGGGGGGACTCAGGTGAGCTGTCAGCAGGACATGGGTTCCCCATACCAATAAATCTGCCACTCCCACGGCCTGTCTCCTACTGAGAGACCAAATGCTGCTCCCCCTCCAGCAACCACAGCTCCAAGTACCTGTTGAAGGAGTCATCGATCAGGTCCCGCCTGGCCTTTTTAGAGGTGGCGATGACGGAGCCGAGCGCTAGGCCCTCTGCATCCAGGACACGGGCTCTTTTCACTGCAGCATAAGGACAGATTAAAGCTTGACCTATCTGCAAGCAGCCCTGCCAGCCCAGATAAGCATGGTCTGACTTTGCCTCCTGTCCCTAACGAGGGACTCACTGGGTACACGTGGGTCCAGACTCACCTGGGTTCTCAATGGGCACCACCTCAAACCCACACGGCTCGACACGGCCCCGTTTCTTCCCCACCGGTGTCAGTGGCCTGCAGACAGAAAAGTGGTCAAGGCTGGGGTCCTCACCTCCCAGCTCTCCAGGACTGTGGAGCTGGGGGAGAACGTCCAGACCACCCCCCTCTCAGCTTTCACCTCTCCTCATCACTGCTGCTGTCATCATCGCTGCTCTGCTCATCCTGCACTTTACCAGCATCGGGTCCTGTGTCTGTGGCAGGTGGGGGCTCAGCTGGAGCTTCCTCCTGGGGTACTTTCTTCTTCTGCTCTTTCCTTGCTGCTTTGTCTGGGAAACAGGAACCACTGGGTGAGAAAGGATTGAGGCACCCCCACTGCAGATCATTCCTCTAGAGACCCAGCTCCTTATCACTCCACTAATACCAGCTCATTAACTGTGTAACTATACACACTGGAACGAACGTCTAGAGATCTCCGGTCCTGCTCAGAGCAACATCCCCATCATGGTTTGATCCAGTGCCCCAGACTGGACCGTGGGGTTGTCCCTCTGTGTCCCCCCACAGTGATGCAGCGCCCACCACTAACCTCTCTGAGACTCGCGCTGTCTCTCAGCCAACATCTGTGACTGCGCCAGCTCCAGGTCCTCATCCGCATCATCCTCGATGGCGGCAAAGGCATCCTGGGAATGGGAGCAGTGGGTCAGAGGACACAGGGCAGACCTGGGGAACTGCTGGGGCCAAGGCTGCCCTGTCGTTTCTGGCCCAGTGGGACTCACCTTCCCAAACCACAGGCTGGTCTGCCGTTCCTCCAGCACTGACTTCTCCTCCAGGGGCACCAGCAGGGGATTCTCCTCTTCCTCCCCTTCCTCCTCCTCTTCCTTCTGCTTGAACTTCACCCTGTGACAAACAGCAGCAGGATCAGTGCCTCCCAGCCAGGACAGGACATGCCCGTTGCTGGACTCCGGAGCTGCTCCAAAAGAAGCCTCTACCCCAGGGAGGCCTCTCCTGGCTCTCACCTCTTTGCACCCTGCTCTCGTCTTTCTCGCTCCAGCCGACGCTGACGAGCCTCTATCTCAACCAGCTCCTCTGGGTCCAGATCGCTGGCCAGGGACACATCATCATCTTCTTCATGATCCGAGACATAAATATCATCATCCCCAGGTCCTATCTCCAGGAGGGCATCTGCCGATGCCATGTCCCCCCGGGTCACCTCATTCAGCAGCTGCAATGCAAGTAAGACAAGTTACAAACCACAGTCCATCAGCCATGTGCCCACCACTGTCTGAGCCTCAATGGCTCTGGGAGCCTGGCCTCCCCCTGCCCCACAAACCGGGGTCCTTTGGATAGTCCGGAGGGAGAACATGCCGGTATCACCATCATCAGCGATGGAGACACCAGGGAGGTCCATCTTCAGCTCAACACGCTCACGCTGCTTTCGCTGTTCCTTCAGGATCTTCTTCTTCTTTCTGGAGGAGGCAAAGGAATGAGGCTACACTGGCCCCCTCCCCACACACACAGATCCCAGTGGTTCATCCACCACCTGATGGGTGCCAGACCTCCCTCAGCAGCACTATCATCCCCCTGTGCGGGGTCCCCAACCCTGGGACAAAGGGGGCCCATGATAGCTTGGAACAGCCATTTCACCTGCTTGGAGGAACAGATGACCCTGAGGACTCCAGATACACAAACCCCACCTGCTGTCAACAGAGGGACAGGCTCTGACCACCCGCCTCTGTCCCCATGGCTGGAGCCCCCCTGTCCTCTGCTGCCCCAGTGCTCTCCCATCTCTCTACATGTGAGATCTTTTTACCTCTTTAACTCTGCCAGCTCTTTGGCTTTCATCTCTGCCAACGCCAGCTCTACCTCCTCCTCTTCCTCTTTAACCACCTCATCAGCTGCGGCTCTTGACGACGTCTTCTTCTCCTCCTCTTGGCCTTCCTCCTCTTCGCCGGAACTCAGGCTGCCAAAAGAAAGGAGCTCAGATCACCTCTCCTGGTGGTAGGCCCATCCCACCGTGTTAATACTCTGGGGCAACCCTGTTGTTCCTACTTGATATCCAGCTCCTTTGCCTGCTCTTTCAGCTTTTTGGCCAAAAAACGCCGCAACTTCGTCCTCC